CTAGAATATGAAAAAAAGGATTTGGTTAAAAGCAGAATCCCAAAATAAAGTATTTTAGGTTTACCTAAGTAAAACCTATAGAAGACATAATTAAAATGATTATTCTCCAAAGGGTTAATAAGATTAGCCCTTAATCCATACAAAAACTATTCAAGAATCAGGCATCCTTAAAAACCAAAATATTCAAAAATAATCCTACTGAGGGAGATTCCTAATGATGTTCTGCTATCCTCATAGATTGGTGCCTAGTCCAGCTGTCTTCAGAGGCTTCCTCCAGCAGCTGATGGGAGACCCACAGCCAAACATTAGGTGGAGAGAAAGCCCAGGTTGCAGGGCCCTTCCCTGGGAGCTTGGGGACCCCCAATAAAGATGGGAAAGTGGAATTGTGGAAGCCAAAGGGGTCAAGGACACTATAAGAACACTGCCAAAGGAATCAACTAGGCAGGGCTCGTGGGGACACACAGAGACTGTCATGGAGGAGCCTGCATGTGTCTGTGCTAGGGCCTCTACATACGGTATGGTTGCTGGTGGCTGTTTTGGGAGGAATCCTGACAGTGTGAGTGGGGCACCTCTGACTCTTTCACCTGCTCTTAGGACCCTTTCCCCCCCTACTGGGTTGCCTGATCCAGCCTTGATGTGAGAGTTTATGCTTGCTCTTATTGTATCTTCTTGTGCTGAGTTTGGTATGTCCCTGGAGGCCTACTCTTTTAGGGAGGGGTGGGGCTGGAGTGGGGGAATGAATCTGGGGGAGAGGGGAGGTTGGTGGGGAAACTGGGAGGAAGGAGAAGCTGCAGTCAGGATGTACTGTGTGAGAGAATAAATAAAAATTAACAAAAACAAATCCTGCTTGGGGCTTTTTAGTAAATCCAACTGAGCCTGGCTTTATGCAGGTTGATAGCACTGTACCAGTTTGAACAGAAACCGCTAGTATTTAAAATGTCTAAATATAGAGACTGGATGTCAGTAAGGCTACAATGGCAAGAGTTAAAAGAGACTGATACCCTCAGCTGAGTGTAGTGGTTCAAACTTCTAGCAGTCAGAAGGCTGAGGCAGGAGAGTCACAAATTCCAAACCAGCCTAAGCAACAGGAGATCCTGTTTTCAAACAAAAACTACAAAAAAGTTCTATAATATCTAAGCTCGGGATCAATCAACATTGTTCTGCCAGCCTGTTTTACAGTCTGTATGCCTGGCATAGTATGTGTATTTTTTTTTCTTAAAAAGCAAAAAAACAACAACCTATAAAATATACAAGAGGCTATAATTACCCTACAAACACTGGAATTTTTATTATCTCAATCTTTACAAAAAGGTTTGTTGACCCAAACTAGACTTCAGCAGTCATAATTTAAATAATCTAAACCTCCACCGCCTGCTCACTTTACCTGTTGTTGAATAGATTCTGCAGAGATTCTGGGGCTGAAAGCACTGGCTCTACATCCTGGTCACTGAGAGGCAAAGGGTCACCAGACGACTCCAGCATCTGCTTCAGGCCAACTACACTGTCCAACAAAGAATCCAGGTTGTCATCATCTTTTGAATGTTCCTAGACACAAATAAAAGCAATGAGAAGACCAGGCAAATAAAACCTCAGCACTTAAGCCCTAATCTACTGATTGTAGCAAAAGAGGTAGAATTAACTCACGCTAAAAATTTGGAACACCATCTAGAAGTCATCAGCTAAACATAAACAGTAAGTGTTTTAAAGTGAAACAAACATCAAAAACACTTGTCATTTCTGAACAATGGCAGCAGAGGCACCCACCCTGCATTCAAACACAAATAATCCAAACCCTCCCCTTGTTTACGCATTAGATTCATAACACGATGGAGAGGAGCTCTCCAAACCACTAATCCAAGGAGTGAGTCCCTGGTGGGTCTAAGCACCCGCTAAGTTCTATTATGTCAAAGTCACCACAGAAAGTTTGTGCTAGTCACACTGAGAAGGAAGGCTGACTTATTGCGAGGTTTTCTAGTTTTCTTTTTACCAAAACAAGCTTCTCTAACTGAAGGAGCAGACTCTCTGGACTTTCTTCTTTGCTCTGTAGAAGCTGTTTTAACTCTGCAGCGTTAATACTCATCGTCCGGGCTGGGTGAGCTCCCTCTACCTCCATGAGACCACTGTCATCTCCACAACAGCCCTGTAAATGTCACACACAAGGAAAATTTGAGAACAGAGAAATTTCAGGCATTTGCTATGCTATGCCCTCAATGTTAAAATTTTTACCACTCAACAAATGGCTACTTTTAAAAAGGATTTAGTTTACTGAAAGTGGAAATATTTTGAGTAAGAGTAATAAACTAGGTAAACACACATTTAAATTACTGACACACTTCTCAAAAAATATTTTATAGCCGTAAGTATTGGTATACTTATACTGGCACTTGGTAAGACCATAACTGATGCATGGTCAAGAGCCAGAAAGACTCCTGTAAGAACAGAGAGCTGAGGAAATGGAATTATATCTCTGAAGACTATACAGGCAATAAAAACAGCAACTATCATATATAAGACCTGCCGAAAGAAAAACAAATATTTCCCACTTAAAATTCATACATATTACTATACAAGAACAAAAGATGCATATTAGGTAGTTATGCACATGCCAAACAGTAGTTGCTAGTCTAACATCTCTTATTTTAAATGATACAAAATGAATTATGAATTATGCTCTGCCAGGAGTAAAGTCCCAAAATAAGTGTCCCCACTAATCTTGATGTAGGATTTAATATTTTCCTGTGAGTTTCATAAGCTTATGTACACTATGTATGTACAGGAACCCATGAGGGCCAGAAGAGGGTGTCAGACTCCTTATTAAAACTGGAGTCGCGGACAGCTATGAACTGCCTGATGTGGGTGCTGTGAACCAAGTCCTCTGCAAGAGGAGTCTGTACTCTTAACCACTGAGTCATCTCTGCAACCCTAGTATTGCTATTTAGCATAAACATTTAAAATTTTGTTTGGAGTTCATAATATTTCTCCTATAAATGCTCAAATGTCAAAAGCTAAATGAACATTATCATGGGGGGGGGAGGGACGCGCAAGTTCTCCAGTTACCCCCGCTGGCCTCAAACTCTCTATATAGCCACTAACGCCTTCGCTCTGGTCCTTCTGCGTCCATTTCCCAGTTGCTGGGATTACAAGCATGTGCCACCGAACTGGGCTACGGAGTGAAACAGTGTTTGTAACAAAACCTACTCCGTCTGACAATGGGCCTGGAGCCTGACAATGAGAACCCTAGATGGAGGAAGTGACGTACACTGTGCCAGAAGAGAAAGTACCTCATAGTGAAGTTTTCTGTATATACAATATGATTGGTGGTAAGTAGTAACAATTCTTAAGGCTTTGACAAACTGAACTCCTGGGTTGTTTCAAGAAAATGGACATTTTATTACATGCGTGTGTAAAGCTATCGTAAGTTTCATCCATCACACATTTCATCTATTAAACTGTACAATACAAGGCAAGTATAATGTAACCCAAGCAGAGACAGGAAGAGAGCAAGTTTAAGTATGGGCTACACAGCAAATTCAAGGATAAAACTATACAACTCGATGACAGCTGACCTCAAACTGAAAAAGGAGCAGAGGACTGAGAGGACTGAGCAAAGGAGCTCAGTGGCAGAACACTTGCCTAGCATGCATGCTAGGCCCTACCTGAGTTCTATCTCTAGCAACACACACACAATTTTAAAAAGAAGAAGAAACACAAAAAAGAATGAAGCACCAGAAACAGTCTCAAAATCATTAAAATACTAAAGTAAGCATTAAATTACTAAAGGGCCAGAAGAAGCTCAATGGATGCAGGGGCCTACATCAGGCCCAGGGATCCACACAGTGGAAAGAAAGACACAATGACTCCCACAAGTTGTCCTCTGACTTCCACATGGCATTTGAACACACACACACACACACACACACACACACACACACACACACACACACACACAGAGAGAGAGAGAGAGAGAGAGAGTTCCAAAAGAAGAGTCAGAAAGAATATGTGAAGAATTAAAGCTACATGTCTTCCAAACTTATAAAATACAATTATCTACACTTCCAAGAGACTACCAAACTCCAAGTATGATAACCACGAACAAAGCCCAAAGGGCCAATGTGACGGCCCAGGTGGCTGTTAAATGACTAACAGACGAACAGCACACACTGTGGCATGTAGGAGACACAAGGGTGACTCCTGTGCTGCAGGATGGAGCGAGACAGGTTAAGTGTGGCAACACAAATGTGCTCATTTTAAAATAAACAAATTATTTATTTTTGGAATTATGTACTGTTGGGACCATAGGCGAATCAGATTAAGTAAATGTTTACAAAACCATAAAGATCAAAAAGCTGACAAGCAATTAGCCAGACTTAGAGAAAGAAAACAGAAAAAGGAAGGAATTCAGACAACACTTTGCCTAGCACATGAGTATAGTGGGATATTCACTTTGTCTCCTTCTGTGGCACTGACCACGCCCATTGGGGGTGGAGCCAGGGGTGGAAGTGACCTGTGGAAGGAGGTCTGAGGAGGAGCCAGAACGCTTTCTTGCTGGCTGGTGGGCTACAAGAAGAGAGCATCCAGTGGAACTTGCTGGTGTTCATCTGTCTAGGTTGTAAGTTATTTCTCCCTGAATAAACATCTATTCGGCCTATTTGTTTATCCTGATCCTTATTTAACCGCAGTATCTGGTGTCAGGTCAGTGCCACAGAAGGAGACACAGTGAATATCCCATTACACATGAGGCCCCCAGGTTCAACGTCAAGTACCACAGAAAGAGGAAGGACTCCAATGATAAAATCAGGAACAAAACGGCAGACAGCTTACCAGAAATTTTTGAGTTTTAAGAAAATACTAAGGCCAATTATATGCCATCAGAAACTAAAGATGAACCCAGAGAAATATATCTCTAAAAGGATGAAAAGAAGCTTAGGCTTAGAAAACTCTGAATAGACTTAATTAAATTAGTAGTGAATTAAATGAGTATTTTAAAGAAAAAAAAATGAGCTCATGTGAGAGCAGAAGTCTCTAAAATTGGAACCACACAGAGGAGATAAGCATGGCCCCAGTACAAGGTGACACACTCATCTGTAAAACATTCCAGTGCACACAACAAAATAAAGTTTTCCCACAAAGAAAAGGCCAGACCCCAAATGGCTTCATTAATGAAGTATATAAAATAATAATCCTTCACAAACTTCCAAAACCTAAGAAGGAAACCTCTTCAGCTTACTCAAAGAAGCCAAAAACATCACCAGAAAAGACAGTTACAGACCAAGATCCCTTATGAATTCATACATAAAAATATTCACTTAATAGAGCAAACTGGATCCAACAATACACATAAAAAGAAAGGATCAAACTGCACTAACCCCAGGTTAACAATGCTAGTTCAACAATTCAAAAAAAAAAAAAACAATCTACTCTAAATAATATGCAGAAACCCATCCCAGGTTAACAATGCTAGTTCAACAATTCAAAAAAAAAAACAATCTACTCTAAATAATATGCAGAAACCCTTTGTGTGTGTTTATCACAATAAAATCATAAAAAGCATTGGCAAAATTCAACAACTTCTCAAGACACAAACACGTAATTATGTAGCCCTGGCTAGCCTGAAACTCACTGTATAAACAGACTACGTTAGCCTTGAACTAATGTCATTCCTCCTTTCTCTGCCTCTGAGTGCCAGGATCAGAATGAACCACCAAGAATGGCAAAAAATTTGCCAACAAAATTGGAGGATGATGTGTAGACCAGAAGGTCACCAAAGAGCCTTAGACAGATTACACGCATAAGGTAAACATACTAGCTAGGAAACTCACATTTCCTCATAGAATCTTTTATTTTGTAACCTTTACAACTTTCTCTAAAAAGTAATCCTACATGTGAGCTGAATTTCTTAAATAAGCATTGAAAAGATGAGCATATGAATACATACACAACTTCCTAATCAATATTTTTATGCAAGATGTGTACTTGTACACACATGCATGCACAAGCACACATGCTTGCAGGCATACACTTCCTAGCCAGCATTTTTATGCAAAGCTAGATTACTGTGCAATAAAAATATATAGGAACTCAAAGTTTCTAAGAATATATTAATAGGTATAATAAAGTTCTGCAGGGGAAACACTGACAAACTTAATTAATGTTAAATAGTTCTTAAGGCAGAGACTTCTGGAATATGGGCCACAATACGCTACGACTTAGGAAACAACTACAGAAGAGTCTGAATCAAATTTGAACACATATGAGCAAAACAGCTACCCTGTCTTTTGGACAGCATTTCACTTCACAGTTAGATGAAAAAGGCATAATTCTATGCTTCAAGACAGTGTTTTTAACTGAAGTAGTTACTTTTAGCCTGAGACATTTGTAATGTTTTAAAGAAATCAAATAAAAACAATAAGTACACTTACCATTGCATCAGAGTTAAGGATCTGTCTCATGAACTCCAGAAATGAGGACGCAAGCTCACCTGTGTCCTTACTAAATGTGCTGACTACTCGCTTCAGCAAACTATGCAGAGCACTTCCGTTTTTCCTTAGAGAACTGAAATTAAAGACAACAGCAGAGACATTAAGAACGGTAAGGAAAATAAAGAGATAGGCAGGCATGGTGGTGTACACATGCACGCCCAGATCTCAGGAGGGGGCAGAAACAAGAGAAAAGCTCTAGAGGTTCCACCCTTCCAAATACTTTGGCACTTTAAAACAGTTCTTCATGTTGTGGTGATTCCAACTACAAAATTATTTTGTTGCCACTTCATAGCTATACTTTTGCCACCATTATGAATTGTAATTCAAATATCTGGTATACAGGATATCTGATATGTGACCCCTGTGAAGAGGTTGTTTGTTGTTCAAAGGGGTGGCGACCCACAGGTTGAGAACCACTGATCAGGGCCAACCAGAGCTTCCTGATGAGGCTCTGTCTTGAAAGGAAACAATAGAAAACAAAAAAGAGCTAATGTGTCAAAACATTACGTATGTAAACAAAAAAGAGCTATCAAATAAACACACATTAAGTGTGTAAGATTAGTATGAGAAATAACTAAGTTCAGAATACAATTTATTTCACCATTCAAAAAACATAAAGACATTTTAAGTGTCTCTGTCACAAACAATAAAATGAAAAAAAAAAATCAGCTCATTTTAATCTATTAAATCTTTTTTCTTTTTCCTCCCTCCCTCCCTCCCCCACCCCTCTCTTTCTTTCTTAAGACAAGCTCTCACTATGCAGGACTGGCTGACCTAAAACTGACAATCCCCCTGCTTCAGTTTTCCAGATGCTATGATTACTGGTATGTATCCTATGCCTGGCACTTATCAAAAAATTTATGTCAAATAATAAACTTTCAGATCTATCACAAGTCACTTGCTAGTTCCCTATTTAAACTTCTTCCCATGGTGTGAGGGTTTCTCTAGCATCAGAGGGCTAGCATCACTATCTGACAGACCAACTCGGGAAGCCTAACTTAAGAGTTACAAAGGACAAAGGAAATCAAGGGTTTAGAGGTCAAGGACTTTCTGCTTTAAGACCTGGCTGGTAATTGTTTAGGCTTTGTGGGCTACACACCACTCAGGTGTCCTACTGCAGACTACCGCACAGTGGGAAATGGTGCTGGAAATGAACAGATGGTCCAGCAATGCCTTATTTGCAGTAACTACAGAAAACTGGACTCAGCTTACAGTCCAGTGTGCTCAACACAAAAGACTTTTGCATGACAAACCCCGTGGTGTATGTCTAAAATCCTGAGTACTTAACACGGTTCTTAGTTTCAACAGAATTTCAATGCCAAACCATTTCAATATTCAGTTGTCTTGTAAGTTACAATATAACCAGCCAAATGGAAGTAAGTAGGATATTATCACTGAACAAGCAGTGCTCCCATTTACCAAATGTCAAGGGAAGATCAGCCGCCTGCCCTTGAGAACATTTTACATGGTTAGACAGAAAGGCTTGAAAGAAAGGAGTGAAATCATACCTAAAGAAAAGGATAATAATGGGGAAAGTAACAGACCTTCACAATTACTAGTGACTAATTAAACCTTAAGCAAATGAGTTATATTTGTGCATGCTCTATTAAAAACTTAGGTCGTTATACAGAGCATTCTGTTCATGCTCTGTATGAAATGCTAGCTATAATAGTAGCTAGCATTTCAGCAGCTGAAGCAGGAGGATCACATGCTTCAGGCCACCCTGGACTACAGAGTAAGGCCCTGTTTCAAACAAGCAACCCAAAAAAACCAACAACAAAAAAATCTACAGTTAATATATCTATTAGAATAGCTTTCATGAAAACTAAACAAAAAACTGGCAAAACCAGGGCATGGTGGATCTTGTCTGTCATCTGAACTATTCTGGAGGCAGATGCTGGAGGACTGAAGCCCAGGAGTCGGAGGCCAAGCTGAGCAACATAAGAAGGTTGGTCCAGGTCAAGAGATAAAACAACCCTGAGGTAGGACGTTCTGGTGAGGCTAAGGAGCCAGGGGACTCTAACACGGTGCGGATGGAAAGCAACCGGGAGATGCACTTTGGAAACAACATTTGACTGGGTTACACAAGCAACCTGTCACATGACCTAGGCATTCCACTGTGGCACCTAATCAAGAGATGTTTTCAGGTACCCACGGAAGTCAGCCTTATACAGACTTATAACAGTGTCATTAATATGTTCCGGAAAAGAATCAACTCACTTAGAAAAGATTTTAAATCCATTACTAACTGCCAATGAAACTACCAAACACAAATTTTTTCCTACAAGAAGTCACACTTTCAACCTTCCATAATAAGCATGAATTAAGTAACTGGCAGGGCGCAGTATGTTAAATTCTGCAAAGCCTACCTTTTTAAGTGAAACAATCCATAGTCATGTTCTGCAAGAAACATCATCGTGCGAACACAAGTCAGCAGACAGTTGTAACTGCTTTCGGAATTAGCTAGGGTCACCAGCAGACAGTCACAGATGGCAATCATCAACTCTTTACTCGGCAGGGAATTGGAGAGCTGCTCAAGCTCAGAGACAGGACCTTCAGAAGGGCTCGGCAAGATGAGTGCAATGTCCTGAGAAGGGCAGGGAGATACATTTTGAAATGATTATCACCATCACTCCTGGCTACCATTTCTGAACACAAACCAACCAACACTTGCTAACAATCTTATGAAAATATCCTCATTGGGAGCTGGAGATATAACTCAGTGGTTAAGAGCACTGGTTGCTCTTCCAAAGGGTTAGATTCGATTATAAGCACCCGCATGGCAGGTCACAACTATATGAGACTCCAGTCCCTGGGGACCTACTGCCCTGCTCGGCCTCTTCCAAACACAGATTCAAACCAAACAGATAAACAACAAATGCTCTTTTATAAAAGCTAATGTAAGAATGTATATGTAAGGAAAGAGACACAGTATTTTCCTTATACTATTTTTCACCTTTAAAATTGATCTTCCATTTACATGAGAGGAAAAGAGTTTAGCACTGACTGTGACAAGGATAGAAAACTCACTTGGGCCTAACAACATGAATGCATCTAAGGCATTTTCTGGCATCTAACTAGTTTTAAAATCTCAGAAAGACAAATACCACCACTGTTGTCAATCATATGTGGATTCTAGCTTCTCCTTTTCATGTTACCTGTGTGGGATCGAGTGTGGTATAGCTCGTGAAACTAGAAAAGGGATTGTGAGGGGGAAAAGAGGTTTTAAGGAAGAGGACTAGGGAGTATAAATACTACATGAGATGTGAAGATGGAACACAGACTAATGCAAAGGGCACAAACACAAGCAGCTATAGAGAGCAGAAGAGCAGAGAAGGACTGACCAAAACACAGTATGTATGAAAATGCCGTCCTCTCCTGCCAGTCAGTTTTCTTTAGGGTGTGGCTTTTGATAGACTGCCCATGCTCTGGCAGACGGCCCTACACCCATGTATATGCTGGCAGCACTAAGTGGACTCAGCCATGAGGAGCCAGGAAGACCTGGGGTGTAGTGGAGAGGATGGAATAAGGGTGAGGGTGGACTTGAACAAAACACAGTACATGTGTGTATGAAATTCTCACACATATTTATACTTCACAATAAAAGAGACAAAATGGCCTTATA